AGTAAGTAAGTAAGTAAGTAAGTAAGTAAGTAAGTAAGTAAGTAAGTAAGTAAGTAAGTAAGTAAGTAAATAAGTAAGTAAGTAAGTAAGTAAGTAAGTAAATAAGTAAGTAAGTAAGTAAGTAAGTAAGTAAGAAAGTAAGTAAGTAAGTAAGTAAGTAAGTAAGTAAGTAAATAAGTAAGTAAGTAAGTAAGTAAGTAAGTAAGTAAGTAAGTAAGTAAGTAAGTAAGTAAATAACTAAATAAATATATAAATAAGTAACTAAGTAAGTGAGTAAAGCTATTATTGACTTCTTAACTTAAATATACATATAAAAGCGAAATGTTTATTGTTAAATATTTTTCCTAAGACAAATTAAATCACATGGATTATGATACGCTTTTTTAAAAATTAAATCACTTTAGTACTTCTTTAACAATGATAATGGTGCTCCTGATTTATGAATAATTATTAAAGTGAACAATGTTCGGTAAGATGTCTATTTATAAAAGAGTACTTAAAACTATTGCAAATTGCTTACAACATATTTCATCCTTCTACTTTCAATGAAATTGAAACTATCTTAAAACTGCATTATTATATGCTTGAATTAAGTGTTTCTTATTTATTTTATTCGTTTTCTGCTATTCAATACAGGTCATCTTTCGTAAAGTCATATCAAAAAACCAAACTACTAGTTTTTGACTGCATTCGCCACATACTCCACTTAAAAGAACCACAAAAGTGTGGAAAAAAGAAAAAAAAAATTCAAATCAAATAAATTTGCTACAACAGTTTCACTTATTTCTCTTCCGGAAATGCCGCCAACAGAAACCAATTTAATTGCTCATGAAATATGCAAACCGTCATTTTGCGTATAATCCACCATCACAACCACTTCAGCTATCACAAGCCCCCAACCTGACGCACCACTCTTTATCGTCATCCCTTAGCGCACACACTCCGAGATGCGTGTCATAAGAATAAACTCATAAGCATAAGCGAAAACGTCAAAACTAAAACAATCACTCATCACCGATGCGACGCTTTGCGTATTTACAGGAAGCGCCGCACGTGCCACACCATTTTTTATAATGTGTGGCAACTCGCGAAAAATCTCTTAAAATTGTGGCTTATATGGTTAAAGTGGTAGACCCTGCCTTCCAACAGTCAAGTGTGTTATTACATTTTTCTACATGTTTCACTCTGTTCCTTTCACTCAGCGAAAGTTTGCTTTATTGAAGATAAAATCCAAAAGTTGTAAGAAATAAAGAACAAAATTATGAGCCACAAAATTTTACGTGGAGCGACACACAACCAAACACATATTAAATCGAAGGGAAACGTTAAGTAAATGAAGATGATGAAAAACTCCTGTAACAGAAGCTACGGGAATGGCTGGAACATAGCGAGTTCCTAGAACAAAAGCGAATGAGCTGAGCAACATGCGTGAAGCCACAAAATGAAAAAATATCTCATAAACTGTATCTTGGCTGAACTCCTTATGATTCTAGTCATTATTGTTTTTCTTGTTGTTGTTGTTGTTGTTGTTGTAGTTCTTGTTACATTTTGTAAGGCATGTGGCATGTGTTAGTCATAAATATTAAACGACGACAAGTATAAAGAATGAAATTTTTTCCATAAGTGAAATCATTTTCCACACAATTAAAAAAGTACGAGACTACAACCAAAACCAAAACCAACAACAACAACAATAACAACAACAACAATAAATACAACAACAACAATAAATACAACAGTAACGAGTAGGAGTGATGAAACATTTAAAAGTAACTAATAAAGGCGTGTTTTAATGGATTTATGTGTGCCTTTAATCACTTTATATACTACGCCCGACACTTGGATGTGTTAGCTGTTGGGAAAAAGTGAGCACATTTAGCTTTGCTTATTTGGACTATGCGATGCAAGGGAGTGGAGCATAAAAATGCATATATACTTGTTTGGAGTTTCCTCATGAAAAACTCTTTGACAGTTGCTTTCCATTGAAGTCATCCGCTTTACATATAGGAACTTTGCTTTCTTAATACTTTTTGGTAAATGCTGAGATTTTCACATTTTTTTATATTACTTTTTATATTATTAGTTTTATTTTACAATAACCTTACCTACAAATCATCGTAATCTGTTCCTAATAGACAAGTGGTCTTTAAACGTATGCTGAATTATATTCCATCTTGTTTAAAACCATTAAGTATCTGTGTACTTATGCTAAGGCCAGCTCATTGTATCGTTTTTCAACCCGCGCTATTGTTACTAAGATTATTCAATTGTAAGGACATGTTTCTTTCTTACTCAATCTTATTAATCTCAGTAGCCTTTGAACCATACACATGTCATACGAATTTAAAAAATATGTGTAGAGCACATATGCCCTATAACATCTGCTTAGACTATTACTATTCTGTTGCTATCACAAATCACAACCAGATGATTATTAATAGATATTAGCATGTTGCAATTAAGATGATACTCATACAGATTTTCAGTAGGGAACATATTATGATTTTACAAAACAACTGTCCACATTGGATATATTGAATATATATAAAAATAAATAAACTCCAATAGGTCTAAACGGCTACTGAGAAATGCTAGGTAATGGCAAATATTACAGTAAAATTTAACTGTAATAAATTTAAAAAATTTTCATTAGTACAATCATTGCATTAAATAACGGTGTATATATATACTATATATATGAGGATTATTATATTATATATATAGATACTATCAACGTGGTCTTGCAATTAATTTTTGTATTTAATTATTCATAAATAATTATTTTTAGAGTCTGCAAGTACCAGGAATCGAACTCGGGTCCTGCCAAATGTGAACTTCAGAATCAGCGTACTTTAACCAGCTGCTCCAAAGCATCTGTGGAATGAAACCATATTGTGGAATAAGTTGATTCACAGCGAGGTCTTTCATTGTTTTTAATCGAAAAAATTCGCTACTGATGCAACGTTTCATGTAATCGCCAAGATAAATAACGGATTCCTCGTCAGTACAACAGAGTTGAGCTTATTAGTATGCTATCATAACCTGAAATATAAAAGTTCGAAACAAAGTTTCTTAATTTCATGTTTATTTCAGGTCAATCCGTTAAAATGAACCTATGAGCATCAAAAGTTGCCTGTTAAACTTGTCTCGCTCAGCCTTATAATTTCTGGCTTCTAGAGATTTACTTATAAGCATCTAAAAAATTTGAAGGAAGTGTTAACTTTCCTTCAAATTCTATCCTTTTCGAATCCACAATGCCCGTAAGTAGGTTTCTAAATAAAAACCAATATATTAATATATTAAATAAAAATTAATCAATTTTTATTTCAAAATTTTCATCCTTACAATTCCTTAATCTCTAATCTCTAGTTAGTCAAGCCTTAAAATTGCCTTCAAATGTAAAGGTGAGCTGTTTTTAGTTATACTTTTAAGTAGACTGAGCGATTTATGCACAACTAAACATAGCTTATATCACCTAGACGACTTAGCAAATTTTGTAAACTTTTCTAGTTGCCAGGTAAAGATTAATATATAGGTATATATTAATATATAGTATTTAGCGCTAATTTTTGTGAAACTTGTTGCTATTATACAATACTCAGCGACAACTCTTCATGTTCAATATATTGCTTGAGAGACTTTTCTAACTGATGCAAGTACTGAGGACACAACAAAAAAAAAACAGAGATAACAGCTTTACTTAAAAACTAATTTATCAATTTCCAAATTATAGGAATCATGATATATGGAAAATATGGTTTAATTTTGAAAGACTCTGTTAAAGATGCTGCTAACATCGTATGTCTTTTTAAGAATTCGTACTTTACTTTAATGATCGTTAATGACCTGTACAGTCACCTTGCAGTATGCTCTACAGAATGTTTGAAAGTAAAGTGGACCTACTGGCCTTAAATTCTGTGAAAAAATAATTTAAGGTTTGTTAAATAACAATTTACCTCATCTCAATAATTGGAAGCCTGGGACATGAAAAACATGAAAGCAACGAATGGACTGACTGTGTCACAAAACAATTATATGATTAATTAGATATGAGCCATTCTGTACTCTGACAAGAGGGCAAATAGCAGACTAGCTTTGGTACTGGGAATAGCCTCAAATTAAAAACTATTGGATGATCTTTGAAAGCCAAAAACAAATTGAATGGTTTGCCAACCCATCATTAACCCAGGACATTGTAAAATAGTATCCTGCTTTCACCAGATCTCTGACAGAGCACTGTAAGCTAAAGTAGTGCATTATTTATATAAAAAAATGTTTAAATGTAAAATTCTATTTATGGAAAAATATTAGTCGAGTACTTATCAAATTATCCAATAAGAGAAACAGGATGCGAAAGGAAAAAGAACTCACATTTCATGTTTATACTCGGGACTACAGACGCAGTGGTTTGAAGATCTAAGAGGCCGTTATTTCAGTGATCTTGCAAAGTGCACTTATCGCATCTCATTGACTTCATTAGAAAAATAAATTTATTTGAAAAACATCACAGCTAGAGCTAAATTGAAAATAATGATTAATATTGATATTTAAGAGGGCGATAAGCGCTCCGAATGCAAAAATGTCCGCATCACTATTAAACTTTCAAATAGAGCTTATGTGTAATGCCCGTATATTCCTGTTTTATTCAAAATTATCTATTTACTCTCAAATATACAAAAAACAAGCATTAATAATATATTATGTTAATTAAATTAAAATAATATTAATAATATATGTTAATTAATATATCTGCTAAATGTCTGTTTGACTGTTTTTTTTCCGTTAAGTACATTCTTATTTTTAATAAAAATTAAAATATTATATAGTTAATTAAATAGTGTATTCTTCTCTTCTTCAGTTGTAAAATTAGTGTTGAACAATTTGTTGCAAATTTTTGCAGCAACATTTCTACGTGCAACTTTTTTAGACCGGCCAGTTGATGTAAACACCTGTTCATCAAGTATCACACTTACTTGCTGCATAACGTTGTCTTTTTCGCCAATGAATCCATCATAATTATAACCCAAACTCGGACGCATCTATATAAAAATTAAATATAGTTAATGTATTATTCTATTTGTTACTTCGATTCTTCTAATAACCATGCAAAGCAGAGTAGTTGGGTGCATTGTTTCCCAATTCAGTGGTAGATCATTACGAATTGGAGCTTTCTTCGGTTCCTTTGGATTGGTTGTAACATGATCTAGATTACCATTTGCTGAAGGATTAAGTTCAGGTACAAAATAACCCTGACTCTCCCACTCTGAGAAAAGTTTATGAATGGCAAATGATGCTAAATTAATCATAGGTAAGTCATCATCATGGGGATCTTGTGAATCTGCTCCATCTGAGTCTAATTAATTATAAAATATTAAAATGTTATTTAAGTTTTGTGAAATTCGTAAAAATTGATTTTCTTTTACCATTTGTAGTGTCCATATTAACATCCTCACTTGGAACTTTTTGGTTTTTGGATTTAGGCTTTTTATCCATTTTAGTAAGAACAAAGTCACGTAAGGCCTTCTCGCAAGCATTATTTTTAGCAGCAGTTTTTGAATTACCCTTGGCCTCATACTTGCGCTCGTTAACAGTTACAATCGCTATGAACCCACCGTTAATACTGTTGTTAATAGTAAAATGGTTTATTTTAATGCCTTTTACTTCATTTAAAGTCGTTATAGCATTTTTTGGTATAATAGCTTTGCGCAAACGGCGATTTTGATTTATTTTCTGCACCTTTGCTCGAACTAAAAATATAATCATAATTTGGAACATAGCGTAATTTTTTTTTATCGAATCAAACACACCTGAAAACTTCTTCCTAGTTGAGAAAAACTTCAGTTTTCCATTTTCGTTAAAAGAAGATGCGTCGTCATCATTTTCAGCAGCGTCCGACATTAATTCATCAACTGGCCCGTCTTCTTTGAAGTTTTGATTATTCACAGCCTCTTGGTTCATAGCTACCGCCGTAGGTTCTTGGAAGACAAGTTGAGATTGAAATTGCTCCTGCACCAGATATTGTGGTTGCTGATAAGCTGGCGACTGCACTGGTTCTTGTCTATTGTTACCATTGTTGGCTGAACCATTCTAAAGAAAATATTTTGAAAAAATTTATTTATATTATTATAAATCAATAAATTGTATCCCGAAATCGGTATATTTTGAAAAATATACAAACAATAATTTGTATCTAATTTGTAATTTGTATTTGTACTATAATTTATATCTAATATTATATCTGATTTATCTAATATATTATATTGAACCATAGCCCCAACTTTATCCATAACATGTTTATGTTTATTATATTTATGTTAATTATAGCTGAAAATTTAGTACAGGAATACCTTTTAACATTCCTGCAGTCAATACCCAATCGATATTGGAAGGACATTGAAGGAAAATTGAATTCATTGAGTCGATAATGAATAAAGTTGCTCATTTAAATGTTTTAAAATGCAATTTAAAGAGCAGTGCCAAGAAGTTGGGGTTACAGAATAATTACTTACTTCAACAAGATAACAACTTTACAACAAGATAAGTTTTAAAGCTTTGGTTACTTTAAAATGTGCCCAAGCAAATCAAAACGTCATCATAATCGACATATTTAAATCCAAGAGAACATTTATAGGACTTACTAGTGCGTTGGGTACATAAATACAATATAACATCCAAAGAAATGCTGAAGAACGTGAGCGACGCGGAATGGGTAAAATAAGCAGTAATGTGACTGCGAAGCTGATCAATTCGATACCAAAACGACTTATGAAGTTCGTAAAAAGGAAAGGTTATCCAACAAGTTACTGAAAATATAATATCTTTGAAAAATTAATATATTTCGACGCTTTTTAAACTCTTGTACGCAGACTTTTTTTGCCACCGATAGCGCTGATTTTTTACATTTTTAATTATTATAATTTTTCTACTAATCTACTAATAATTTTTAGCTTAAAATTAAGATAACAAATTAAAGTACTAATAAAAAATAAAATTTATTTATTTAGTAATTTTTTATATGTTGAAACAAAATTTACTTTCTGTGCACAGAGTTTTTCTGCTAAGTGTATGTAGATATATGTGTCATATACCTTTGGCATCATTTTCACTTGAATAAATAATAAATTAAAATATATAAAACTACCGTTTTTAAGATTCTGGTTCTACAGAATTTTTCCAAAAAAGTAATTGGTATCAAAAGAGTGCGCACAGGCTATATTATTATCTTAATTGGAAACAGCACGAGACGAAATTTAAAAACTGCTGGCAGCATGATAGAATAAATTTTAAACTTATAAGCTACAACTACTTTAAAGTTTATATTTTATATCTTCATTGGAGATATAGCATACATAATAATATATAATGAGTTCGAACAAAAGTCCCTTACCGAAAGACTGTAAGAAGTTCTTTACAATCACTTGTTAATAGGTTTTATTCCGAAAATACAATGGCTCTGAGCTACTCTTAAAAGTTAGGGCAAGTAACAAACCAGATAAGCGTAAATTCGTATGTAAAAGAGTGATAACGTAGCTAGATAGATCAGAGTGCAAGAACCACATTTTTTTTCATCATCCTCTTTAACTTAACATTAATATGAAATTCTCAGAGCCTAGCTGATGTACTCAACTACAAATTTAGTGGAAACAATCGATTTAATACGCAACTAGCAATCCATTGAAAAAGTCATCAACAGGTCCATATATATAACTGGTTTAACTGGTACATATATATGTATTACATATATAAATATATACTACATATATACATATATGTAGAACCAGTAGTTGAAAACCAAAAAGAAAGCTTATATAGGTACGTTATTTCAGATAAGGTAATTTTTAGATATAGAAATTTTTTAGATATTTCAAGAACGAATTGTCTAGTTTAAAACCCTCGATTCCTTTTAAACTAAAAGTGGATGATAATTTTCTAAAGAAAAATAAGAACATGAATATTACTATTTCACCACAAATGAAATTATAAAGAAATATATATATATATCGTCTAATTATTAATCAATAAATAAATGGCAGAGTAATGCAAATCAACCACCGCAAAAATCTATCAACTGCATATATTAATACGGCTATCAACCACACTTTTCTGGATGTAGATATATTTTTTTCTTTTAATGTGTAAAACATTTAATATGTGTAGATATTAAAAAACAATATATATATGTATATGTATATAGATATATATATAAATATAATATATATATATTATAATATATATAATATATATAATAATATATATATATATATAAAAAAAACTATTATAATTTAAGTAAATTACTTAATCTAACTATGGCATTAATATTAATTTCATGTACTAAATAACTTATTTCATGATCAATTGTTTGGTAGCAATATAGACGTAGTACCTTATGCATTAGCAAAAACATTTCTATGTTTTTGGCATTAGTCTCATGGAACCAGAATCTGTTTTTTTTATTGCTGTACTTGGCATTAGCTGATACTGTTCGTTAACAAAAATATAGCATTTAAAAATCAAATTTAGATATTATTAAAGTTACCAGTAAGATAATGAACTATTTTTATATTTTAAATGCGTAACTATCACTTTTCACTTCTAATAGCACAATTTTCGCATGTATGCAAAATGCATTAATATGAAGCTAATCATAATCAATTATATATTTATATATATCTGTATACAACTTACATATATTCCTCCAGGCACAAATTTTTTAGATATATTCTTTCTGGCACCTCGGTTGCGAGCCATTGTGTTTTATATACAAAACTTTATATATGTAACGCCACTAAAACGAACCTTCTTCGTTTAAGTTTTTATGTTTAATGATACATTTATTCTAAAAATTCTGCATCTGGGTTTATAAGGATATCTCTTTTATACATTCTTACTATTACAAAAACGTGAAACCTATCTGTCCCTGTTGTATTTGTAAATTATACGATTAGACATATACTTTCATCTCTTTTCAAAATTTTAATATGAAATGCAAATACAACACTGTGTATATCATTCAAAAGTTCATGAAAATGAATTTACGGGAACAACAGCTGATTATGACATATCTTAATTATTATTACCATTGAAAATTGTAATAAGAAACAATTTGTGGTCAAATTTGGTCATATAAAGACCACAAGTAATTGTTTAAACGTTTAGATTAACAATTAAATAATATATTAGGTACTTAATGATAATTTCTGATCAAGTCAATAAAATAAGTTAACCTTATAATTGTATTGAGAAGAATTGGGTAAAACCCAATTATTATTTCAAAATAAAATGATTTTTCTAGTATTGCCACCTAGGGTTTTGTTAACATATATTAATATATTTAAATAAACATGTATAATATGTGTAATTATATAAATTAAAGTTAAATTAGCGAATAACGAAACAAAAAAAAAACTCGAAGTAATAAAAAATATCGAATAATATAAAAATGTGAACTAAACTTCATGTATTTCAACTCCTAAAAAATAAAAGCAATTGAAAATTTTATGAAAAATATTATTAATATATAATTCAATTTAAAAAAATGTTTAATTTTGAATAAAAATCTTTAAAAATTCGATTTAATTTATATACTTTTGCTTCAAGATAATTCGCAATAACTTCATATGTATACATCCTTGTATGGAAAGTATAACTAATTGCTACACATTTATTGTTATAAGCCTTAGTGTAAACGTATAGTAAAAAACATTCAGATTCTTTTGTATTACAATTTTGCTCCTTTAATAATAATTTAGAAAAATTTTATTTATTTTATAAATCAATTTATTTAAAATAATTAAATTTAGTATAAATGTATAAATTAAATAATTAATTTAAATAATTTATTTATATTATACATATATCAATATATATATACTATATGATAACTTCAGAAGATTATAATGCGGATTTCATTCGATTTTGAATGGCATAGACTTTTAGAACTTTACAGATGGTAACCTTTTCGAATTTTAACATTTTCGATATCAAAGTTTAAAGCTAACTTTATTTTTACCAAAAACCAAAAACATAGAAATACATATAAAGAGATGTAATCTGCCTCTGTAAAAAAAATCATGAATTCTGCACGCAATGGGAAAAACATGTCTGTTCGAACATAAAAATTATCAAACTTATTATTTCATGTATGATCACTAACATTTTGTTACTGGAGTCAGCAATCAAACCAATAGCAAACATTTTGTGTTTTGCTTGGACAAAACCATATAAAAAAAACTCTAATATGAGAGCAAATGCACACATAGCTTCTATTTCATGCGTAAGTAAGTTTCTTGATACATTTTTTCTACTCTTCTTTTTATTGCACACTTACTAAATATTTATTTGCATGGGTAGGTGAGACAATATTTTTGAATGGGATGCATAGACTTTGTTGTTGCGCTGATTTTTTGTTTAAAATATATGACTGCCTTCATGTCTATGAAATGCACACGTTCTTCAAAATTATTTTAAATTTGATTTTTGCTCAAATATTATACTGGCTTCATATATATATATGATGTTTGCCTATGATATGATGCGAAAACACCGGAGTAGCGCAACCACAGTTGTTATTAGTGTAAATGCTCTTAATATGTTTGGTTGTGAAGACTGTTCTATGCCATACATTAGCAATGAAGAATATTCATAAACACCATATTATATAATAATTGATAATAATTGTGTTTTCGCATCATATCTTAGGCAAACATCAAATTATTGTTTGAAGCCAGTATAATATTTGAGCAAAAATCAAATTTAAAATATAATTTTTCCCCACCCGTCTGTCTGTCCACATTTGCTAATAAAGCGTGTGATAATACGCAATTCTGAAGCAAAAGAAAAAAATTTCATGCATTTTTTCTATGCGTATGCAAACATCCAGCATATCATTACGCACAACATACATACATATGTATGTACATACATTTAGTATGTGAATATAAATTTTTCTTATAATTATATTTATAATCATGTTTTTTATATTTATTATTATTTATTTTTTTATTTATAATTTGAGATTAAAATGAATAAAATAATAATATAAAATATTGAAATAAAACAAATAATATGTGTGTTAAATTACATATGTACATACATATGTATGTACATATTTATATGTACAGAATAGAATATGCCGTTATGTTTTTTTTGAAGTTTTTTATTTATTGCATATCATAGCCCTGTTTGCCTATGCGCATTGACAAACTTTTTTTTACCTCCAAACCTGTGCATTAAACTCCTCAAGATTTTTGCGAAGCTGTGCACCAGTAAATGACATCATCACAAAAACAAAAAAGTGTATGCGAAAGTGTTGTGCGCCGCTGATAGTCATTTAAGGGTGGGTTTGTGTGTTCATATTTGGTTGTGCAAGATCGAATAACAAAATTATCCAAATATTTATTTCACCCACTGCCTGTGCTTTTGAAATAATATATAATTCATTATATTCAAATATATTAAACTAAATTATTTAGTTATATTAAAATGTAATTATTAATAAATAGTACATATTTTAAGTAAGCTTACTATTCTAATATATAGTAAATATATTGCACTAAATTAAATATTAAATATTTGAAATAATATTAAAAAAAGCAATGCAAAAACCTTTAAGTAAGTGAAATATAAAATTGACATATTAGGATATATACATACATATATCCCTAATATATATATGTATGTACATACGTATGGATTGTAAGTCCAGCGCTTAACACCATTTTTGTTTTTTGGAAAAAATATTTTTCCATCTCGCCCGTCTGTCCGGCGCCTAACGCAAATTTTGTGTGCAATCCAACATTAATAGAAAGAATAGTTTTTTTTATAAAGCAAACAAGCATGACGTGCAAAGTAGTATACGCGATAAAAACCGCATTATCTCAAAAATTAATAATAGTGAAAGATTTGGTAAATCCAAATCAAAATATTGTAACTTTTGAAATAAATATTAAAATAATAAATGAGCAAAAAAAAAATGGATTTTTTTTAAAAATAATTATCAAAAATGGGTGAAAATCATGGAAACATGCAAAAAAGTGAGTTATTAATATATTTTACTACCATTTTGTTATGTGCTTAAAAATTTAAAATAAAAAAAGTTATATTTTATGTTAATGTTCTTTTTTTAATATAATTATTACCTTACAAGAGATTTTTAAAATATTATTTTATGTTCAAGAATATTTTAATAAAGTGTAGACTAATTTGCAGGCTAATTGGTAAAATTTTTAATAGTTGTTAAAAATAAAAATTAAAAAATAAACAGTTTAATTTACAATAATTTTTATTTCATGAATATTATGACTTTAGTCTAAAATCACTGGACTAAAGTCGATAAAACTTAAACTAAAGTGAAACTCTACGTAGTTAACTTATGAACACAGTGACAGTGGTTAAAGCAGATTTATCAATTATCAATCAAGGCAGCATAATAGTTTTAATTTTTTATATATAAAATATAATATATAAAATTAATCATTTCAATATTATTTAATATATATTATAAGACAATCTTCATTTTAATTAAGTTTTAAGTTTTAAATTTTTATAAATGTCTTAAATCAACTATAAAAATTTCTTTGATTTCATTATTAATAATTTGGATAATTTCTCTTAAATTTAATATTGCAGGACTTAAATGCCTGGTTTAGCTTAACTTATTGTTTAAATTAAATTTAAATTTCATTAAAATTAATTGATTACTGTGTATTGTGGGTAGAATAGTTTAGGAAACACCTTGCATATTATTTATTTTCTGTGTTAGTTCAGTAACCGTTTTAAATATGTGTGAGTTAGTGAAATTTGTTCTAAGCTTTAATATTGTCAGTATGAATAACCCTATTTCTACTATAAATTCTAATCTTATTTCGTAAAACTTGTCTTACTTTTCGTTTTTCATACCTAGGCCGTAATTTATTTCGTTGTCCTACTACGTTTTTATTCACTTTCACTTAAATCATAAGTAGATATATTACTAGATATATCATTTATAAATAATTTCAGTTAGACGGTAGGTAACGTAAGAAATTAATATAAAGCGAAATGCACCTTTAACCAAACTTCGGTGTTTGATAGGAACGAAACAAACAAAGTACATCATTTTCGTTTATTTCGTTCCTATCAAATACGCAGGTTTGGATGGTTGTGCTTTTTGCTTCGAATTAATTTCTTACGTTATCTTCCGTCTAACTGAGCCTTTAGGTATATTACTACGAATAAGAATGTCATCATTTAAATTTAGAGTAATTTTTGCTTTTCTTAAGATGTTAATATACACGATAATATTGCAGGGCTTAAAATTTCTGTTTTGGTGAAATTTATTGTTTCAATTAAGTTATGAAATTCCATCAAAATTAGTTGATTTCAGAGGTATGTGTTAAAAGGTGAAATTTTATTTTACATTATTTATTTTATTTTATTTACAAATTTTAAATAATTTTTAAAATATAATACATTTTCATTTTAACAAATTTTAATATAAATAAAACGCATAATTTCACAAATTAATATATTCAATTTTTATGTTTTTGATTTTTTCTTGTTTAATTACAATAAATCGTGAAAATTGTACAATTTAATATTTTGTTACATTTAATTCAAAATTTATTAAATTTATTTACAGTTTTTTCTTTTTTAGTTAAGTTCGACAATACCCATTTTGCGTTCAGGAACTACGATCAAACCAGTAAGGCTAAATGAATACTTTTTTTTAAAGATCTCTTATCGTCACCAGGTAAGTTAGTATACATTAAACAGTCTTTCCGATTATCTGTTTACATGTGGTCCACAGGCTTATACTTAATTAAATTATTCATATCATATTAATAATTATTATCTTTGTGGTTTCTTGCTGATATTCATATCTTTTCTCATATTAAACAGATCGAGATGTTACCACATTGATCGT